TTTGCCCGGCAATCTAAAGAAACGTATGTGGAACAACCACCAGCTTAGAGTGGGAAAAAGGCTGATGGTACAGAAGTCGATGGTGCCGTCCGTTCTTCTTACAGTAGTGAAAGGTGGACGATGTACCGGGAGGACGTCAGATATTTGAAGCGATTTCATCAACAGTATCTGCGACGGTGTTGTAGCACAGGCAGCAGAGATTGCCTGAGTCGAAGCGCCTTCGTAAACAACCGGCGTCGACTCAGGGATCCCACATGGAAGAGACGACAAACCAGGTGAATATGTGATCGTCATAGGCGCAGCGCGTGACAGGTACGCTGTTCGTGGTTCAGGTTACTAACACAGGCTAATAATGCAGTCGAAGCGGTAGGTATGCTACATCATCGACGCAGTTGGATTGTGCGCGTGGTTTCGTGTTTACATTCTTAAATTTCAGGTGTTGGGTGCGCTTGTTGAAAATGTTGACAAGATGCCTACCTGTCTAACACCCTCCAGCTCGATTACTTACTTCAGGAGATTTCTAATCTATGTTGGGGAACGGGGTGCACGGTCTTCGTGACCATGCTAGGCTCAAAGAGTGGTTCCATCAGTGTAGAACGGATTACGGCACAGCCACCGCCTTGTGCACATCTAGTACGCATGATTCCACAGTTACATAGACAGGGATGCTGCGACTGTACATCTTAAAGGAGTGTGAGTCGGTTCCGTTAATGAAACGTGGCTTCCATCCACATGCCTCCCGGTCTTATTCCTTCAGGTTGACACTGGATATGAGTTGAGCAGATAGAGCTGTGAATGGCGTAGCATAAGCCACCTATGGTCCCTCGGTAGACGCAAGCGTCTTGTGGCTGACCTATAGAGGCCGCAGTGACAGACAAGTCCGGAACCGGATGCCAACAACCATGCATTCAGGTGATGAGTTTTGTGTAACAGCCGTCCTCATCGGATATATATTCCTTGGTCCATCTTGGAAGAACTCATTTAGTCATTTCCCCGATGAAAACATGGTCGTTATCCAGTTCGGACTTAGAAGATTTCCCACTGCAATTCTGGCTATTCCCGTATTTTTACAAGAGCTGTTGTGGCTGGTAGGCTATACGACACGACAATCGGACGAGAAGTTAGATCAAATAGCTGTCATGGTTCTTTGCGTAAATAATTAACGTTTCGCTGCGAAGTCTCCGGATGAAGTTATGTCGCAATTCGAATATGAAAAGAGTAAAGTGTGTCTTTTGGTTTCTGAGATTGTGCATGAGCATCAAGTTATGTTCCAGTCGTTGCAACCAAAGACGCTCGAAGCGAAGCTCCTGGCAATGCCTCACATTGCTCAAGGTGGAAGAAACCTTATCAACATTCGCCACCACGAAAGTGGCAGCTGATAAAGTTCCAGTCAAGTCAAGATAAGCCTTACACATGCGTGTGAGAGCATTTTCAGCAATTTACACTAAAAGTCCGGATACGCTACGTAAGAAAAATACAAAGTGAAGAAGAAAAGGAAAAAGTTCATTTTCACTTTATCAAGATGTCTCGCAACTGATGCATTATTGTTTGTGGGTAGACTGACAAGTAAGACAAATCCAGCAAGAGGCTACGATACGAAGATGTGTAAGAAAAAACCTTAAATTTCGGCGAGGTAGAAGAGAGAGATATCGCAATGGCTAGAACGATGTCCAGAGGGTACGATAGCTGGTTGACAATCATGCGGAAAACGCTAAAGCATGCGTCAAAATGTCTGCCAGCAAATTCTAGTTTAACGCAAAGCATCAGGAAATAAATGTTAGAGAGCGCGCACAAAGGAGTACAATATTCTAAAGAAACCCTCGAAATATAGCAGGGGAGCAATACAAAGTATGGGGGAGAACATACGATTGAAAAGCTTCCAGAATATGTGTGGACGAGATGAATTGTAATAAAGAAGGTAAAGCTATACTTACGGAAGATAAACGAGAGATACCCTGGTCGCTCAAAGCCAAAAGAGGAGAGCTATTTATAAAGAAACACAGTCTCGTAGGCGGGGGAAGAGTGTGGGATCACAACACTTGGAAGGGTTAATGAAGAGAGAGCAGCAGCCTGATCAGGTAGAGAGTTAGTTGTATCAGGGTTAGAGTTTCAGAGATTCCTGAATTACGGGGACCACGTATCCTACGACGACGTCATCAGCGTAGTTACATTCAAGAAAATGGGATGACATTGGCAGACACTCAACGCAGATGGGAAGTAAGAAGGGGGATAAAATAGTTTTTTTTACGAAACGCCATAGTTGGCAAGAAGTGTGGAAGATCTACGAGATAGATGAGAAAGGCGAGTACAAACAGTGAGAAAGTCACGCATTGAATTACAAAGAAACGAATTCGTTTGCACACTATCCCGGTCCACTAGCAATCGCAAATAATCAATAGCGCCCTATCAGCCTCGCCGAGCATAGTGGATAGGGGTGAGGATGCTACTTGTCAGGCCTTCAAGTCTTCTTATTCCCCCTATCATACGATATTCCGCCTTTGGTTGTTTTTCCTCATGTGTTGTGGCCCTCTGCCAGTTGTTTATTGGCTAAGTGAAATAAGACAATAATACAATCAGCTAACCCCACTTTTATCCCGATTTCAACCAGCATCACGTTCGGAATGCGGCAACCATAGAGAAGTCAGTCTCAGCTCCATCGCCTCAAATAATTACCCTCTAACCACTGACCTATCTGATATGAGCGGCTCCGAAGACACTTGGAAAGTGTCGCACGATGAAGATCAACGGATCATGAAGGTACACAAACCATCCCACTAAGTCGCGCTAAATTATATGTATATATATATATATATATATATATATATATATATATATATATATATATATATATATATATATATATATATATACCAATGCAGCATTGTAAGGAGTAAATGTGGAGCTATCGATCCCGCTAACGAAACATTCAAAGTTAAAGCACGTAAGAAAATGGAACAGAATTGAAGACGCTTTATGAATTCGACGAAATTCAGACGATACTGAGAGTCCGACAAATCGCCGAAGAACCCTACGCCATGAAGCGTTCGGGCATAAGGGATGTAAATGTCCACAGAACTCATATGAATATCTTCTTTGATAAATATATCAAACAGAGTCATCGGTTGAATTGAACGCGCTCTCGGAAACGAGGAGCACTTTTATAGTCAGTCCAAGATAAGCATGCGCCTGCTGGATTACTTGATATACTGTGAGAATGTGAGCTGTGCAATTACAGACATCTCGTTCAAAAAGATCGCTGTACTAGTAACATGACTTTTCATCATATGGTTGGATAGAGGAAGGGGCCCGTAGCTTTGCCATCACCGGCATCAAGCTGATAATATTCCTGTGTGTAGTCGATGAATGCCTGTTATACACACTAATGGTGTTTAACTCGGATAGGCGAAAGCTATGCTCGTGTTTATAATGTGCTATAATGAATGGGAATTATCAGAATTAGAAAATCATCAATATCTATGTACAAATGGTGAGATAAAAAATATGTGAAGTTGTAAATCTGTGATTTACGGCTATCCTCGGGACGCGAGTTGCATAAACTTAATACACCATACTCTGATCACGGTGTACATTTTGCCACTTTAATACAACGATCTGGACCTGCGTTACAAAACCGCTTTATGTTCAAGGATAAACGGTTAGTGTGCACCTAAACAACAAAATGGGTCGAATCACATCAGTGTTAGATAACACGTCTGCTTCACAGGTATCACAGTTGAACTGAAAGCGACCTAATCGCCGATAACAATGCTGCTAGTTTCGCTTTCATGGATGTCAATTCTGATAAGCACTTTCAACGACCTAGTTGCAAGCATCCTCTATAGTGTATTGGGTAATTACGGTATGGAGCTGCTAAAGTACTTAGACGGACGATGGCAACTTCTTTGTCCCTCTGTTCGACCTCCAGTATTTTGAGCATAAATCTCACAATTCGTCCCTCGCTCACCGCTTATCAAACATCGATAACCACATACTCCTGCTATCCCAGACTCCATAACCAGATGGCGACATCCAACAGCCTAATAAGTAGTTGTTTTGCCTCTCGTCTCTACAGGTCTATTGCAATCGAATTCGTTCTTTGGATGCTGAAAAATCTGGTGCGTCGGAGCAGGTGCACATAAAACCGCGTATGTTTGACGTCGACGTTCTAACCGGTGCACCACTGACGTTAGATAGTCCATAAAAAACGGAGTACAGACCTGCCGAAAACACTTTGGCTCACTGCAAGACTTAAACGTGCAACTTATATCGAGGAGTTTGGCTCACCAAAGATGTTAAATTTTACCACGACTTGACTTTGCTGAATAAGCGCTTGTCTTTGAGGGACTAAGTTCTGCAACATAGTCCCTATTCACAAACGTGTTTCCGCTACATCTATTCTTTCTCATGTCGCTTTGGAATTAGGTCTTGTGTGAAGCTAGGCCAGAAGCGTTTACGGTTTCGTTTAGTAATATGCACAACAGCGTCTAACCGTAACGAGGAGAATGAGGTAAAACGCAAGTGGATAACGAAAATGGTGAAACAAAAAATGCAGAGATTGTTCACCTTAGAATGTGAGCAACTAGATGAGAGACGATGTTAAATAAAATTGCCCCCACCCGAGGCGCCGAACCAGATAGACGAGATGTAGCAAATCGGCCAAGCCACTTAATCGATTCCAGAATTGCTTTGAACTCAAAAATCCTCCAAAAGCCTTCGACCCATTTGCAAGAACGTTTATCTTTATCGTCGCCAATTATTCGAGGCAGTCACCTACGTTTCCCTTGGCACCGTCTTCGTGTGGGGGATTAATATGCGGTTTTTTGTCTGACATGCGTGGTTACTCACGCACAAGTGACCAATTGGTATACGGTAGTGCGTTATAGCATGGATTTGAATTTGAGTGATATAATAACCACGCAAAGAACCGGGACAATGCGTTCACAGGGGAAGCCAGGGCGACGGTCCAAAAACGATAATACAAGGTTCTGCGAAAAACTCACTTCACTCGGAGATCCCACTCCGGCAACACACTGTTGGCCTTGTAATTCCCCTGAAACGATGTAGTACAGCACAGTCTGCATCGAGGATTCTTCGGATAAGATGGTGTCAGCTTTGATGCTTGAAAGGGTCACTTGTCCACGGAGAGCATTGGCATCGGAGAGCTTAAGGAGACTAGTTAAATCTTCTTCAGCTGCAAACAATAAGCCAAGCTCTGTTGTGCGATCTATGTTTAGGCTGTCGGAGACAGAAGACTTGGTAAAGATTTCGGGAGCGTCGTCTAGCTTTTCACATATCTGGTTAGTGTGAGATCTCGTGATGCTTTGAAAAGTGTCAGCGTCAGTTGCAGAGTGTGAAGGCTCCATGGTTTTCAGTGACTCTCCATTAGTAGAGGAAGTAGACGCGATGACTGTTCTCTCAGTGGAGATGCATGAGGGTGCCTCACCGAATTCCAATTCGCCACATACCCCACGAACAGCCAGACGATTCTTCGTGCCCCGATAATCGGGTTCAAATTCGTCTAAGATTTCTCCTTCATAGTTTAATTCGAACGTATGACTGACCAGTGGACAAATGCTGCCGCGAGCGTTCGGGAGTGCTGCGAGGATGAAAAAGGAGACTAACTGGCGTAAATTATGAAAGACATAAAAGGAATAGCTAGCAAAAGCGCATAAGTTTTGAGTGAGAACCTTCTCTTATCGTCAGTCGAGAACATGTAGCTATCCTTTCGGTACCAAGATTAAGTTGATGCTGACTGGCACGATTCCTCAAACGGTAACAACCTGAGGTGTAAGCGAAACTGTCTATTGTCCCAGGCATAGCTATTATTAGGTACATTAGTTGTGACCAACAAAACATCCACTAATTTTCGCACTCTTTGTTGGAGGTTGTATATTGCAGGTTTGTTGCTATGTCTAATGGTTGTGTGGCGTGCATCCCTTATGCGTCTATTCCTCGTGCGCATACTACTGTGGTTCCAGAGTGCTCCTTTCCTATGAGGGAGTCATTACGGCCCGCTGTTGGCTGGTTGCCCTTTCGCTTCCTGGTATTTCCATGCTACCGATAACTCATGCAGTAGCGTCTGTCTTTAGTCCAAAACAACAGAGCTGATTGTAAAACCAAAGCATTTGCGAAGAGAACTCTTTTTGGCATTTCACTTCAGGATCTCTCGTAGTTTTACTGCCTTAATATAGGCGAGTGCTGGTTCAGCCCAACAGTTGAGACTGGTTCCAGAGATATTCAGTAATGCACCTATGCTAACGTACGGGGACGTTACCAGCCATCCTAATTCTGGGTGTGTGAAGGATAGGGAGCTTACATTTAATTAGGACCAAGTCAGTCAGCTAGATTCAGTAAATAAAAGAGGGAAAGTAGTTGATGCGAAAATTGTTCGTGCAGAATACCGGAAACAATGAGCGCAAGTCAACTCATATCGACACAAGCTTGATTGCCGTAAAGAAGCAAAATGAACTAAAAAAGCAGTCGCATTGAAAAGACTGTTGGAAAGATACACGACGTTGTGGTAGAATCGACGATAAAGCCATGTAAAACAGTTAGAACAAAAGCCGTGGGAGACGGAGAGCTTTAGCAATCAGCAACCTGACACACAATTTCTGAGCAGTGTGTGTGTGTGCAGATCGCATGGTCGTATTTGAAGGTGCCAACTGTGTAGCACCCGCGATGGACACCGTTCTATTGCGGGACTGCTGAACTGGCACCGATTCTTTGCTTCTCCCGTTGCAGTGTTATCAGGACTCTTTCTTGGTGGGTTTATCGGCGTTGTTGTAAAGCTGCTAATCAATTGACTGAGAATTTCAAGACCGTCGCTTTATAATACTCCTTCTCTTTTTGATCGAGTGCAGTAGATTTTGTGCGTATAATTTCCACACTTATTCTAATCAATGAGGTCAATTCTTTCTTTCAACACTGCTAATTTTTCCCATTTGTCACCCATCTCGCTTCCGTCATTTAGAAGCCTATACAATTAGACTGAATGGGCTATGTTTTCTGAGTTCTCCTGAGTTCACTTATTAATCGGCTAAATTTGTTTTCTGTCCCCTGACGTAGCCCGTAAGGAAAAAGGTTCAGCCGGGAGTTCATTGCCGCCAAGCAATAGACGCTCCAAGGGTTTCAATGAAGATGTAAAGATATAAAAAGCTGAAGAAACTGCCATAATTCACAAAAGTAGGTTCCGCTATGGTGGAAGTATTCAACAGAGTAGACCGGCTTCAAAAGGATGTTGAAGCGCTCACCAAAAAGTTTAGGGCGATGGAAGATTTCTGCGAACTACTACTTCCCATCTTTTAGTTGAGTAAAATGCTAAAGAAGATAAAACTAGAACACTTAAAACAGGCCTCATACTTTATCAATGCAGTTGAATGGAAAGTTTGCGATCGAATATGTTGTTATAATAACGCGCCAAATAGGGTAAACACCGAAACTGTGAAAAATGTAACTCTTAAGCTAGCATCCTACGGTCTATAGAATGTACATGGATAAGGTTAAAGAACTCGCAAAAACATTGCTACCCAGTTATAGCCCTGTGATGAAGCAACAGTATAAAAGATCGTCTACGCTAAAGATCGTATGGACGTAAGGACAGGATTCCAAGAGATTATCATAACATACGATGAGACACCACTCCAAAGGGGGGGGTGATCCACGGCAGACAAAAATTTTGCGCACTCAAAAGAGCAGATTCTGGAAAAATAGCACCACCATGTATGCGTCGGTGTCTAAATAGACCTTGACAAACACCATCGCAAGCCCATACTTAGTGGGCATGCAACGCCGAAAATCGATATGCACTAAGATCATTGACATGGATTCAGTTGAGTTCCCAGAAAGCATTCGTATTGGGATGTGTCAAGAATAGGAAAACGTCTAACCCATTAGTAAGGACAGTTCCGGCTTCGCGGAGAACAATACAGGAAATGAAAAAACGTCGGCAGTACGCCTGTACTGACTCTTCGCTGCCACGCAACCAATACCAGTCGCGCGTGGTCTAAGGATAGTAAGAATGTTGCCTGGTCCCGTACGCAGGCTCGAGCCGGTGACATCCAGGTTGCAAGGCAGACGCCTCGTCCTTTCAGCCACCGGCCGGACAGATTGTACGCTAGAAAGTCAAGCAACATACTGATGTCTATCACAAGCAATAAAATCACTAGTGAGCCGGATTTCGAACATAATGAACCGCTCACATATGCTCAATTGGTCCTGTGTCACACTCATTCTGCTCCCCGGAGGACTAGCGACAAAACGTAAACACACTCGGAAAGACTCTCGGTCTAAATAACCAGTAACCGGAAGTAGTTAAAGATCATAGTTCGATGCAAATAGTGCCAGGAATAGGTGCTGCCAGGGTTATCAAAGCGCGCAGTATAGGCGAACTATGCTAAAAACCGTCAAATGCATATCTGGAGATGTTAATGTTTGGGTGTGATAAAAAGTGGTTTGCTTTTAACTGCCTAGAGTAGGGCCATACAAAGTGGCACAGATGTATTCATACCCCCAACTCTTAGTGCTTTCGCACCAACATCCCACCTTCCGTTACATGTAAACACACTGACACAAACTACACGATCTAAGGAGTAAGGAATTTACCAAATGGTGGACCATCAAAATATGCCTCTTCCGTTAGAGGCCCGCAATAATCATGAGAATAACAGCGGTTTGCTTCGGTTTGGAACGCACTGCTTCATCCGGCACTCTACTCACCATATCTGAACCCGACACAAGGCAACCAGTTAGCTGGTATGCAACATGCACCTAGTTGATTCGCAGATCTTTTAAATTTTCCTCCCATATGTTTTAAACACTGCATCGGCCAGGCACCACCAAAAACTTTACTTTGTCATCCGTAGTTTGCGCCGCAATCTCTGCAAATTGTACTGAATGCGGTAGTTCATCGCCCCCTGACCTCCGTACACAGCCAGTATTGAAAATAGCCACATAACGTGTGACCGTGCTTCTCAACAGTTTACGGTAAAGAGATTACAAGATAATGCTGTTTCAAATATCAGGAAAGCAGAGGCAATAACCTACCTTCCTCGGTAAGATGAAGTTAATTTTCGCATTAGGCACGCAGGATCACTAGCCAACAAAATGCATCACCTGCGACTCTTATCATCCTTTTCCAGCCCACATATTGAGCTAGTAACGGGAACGTGGTAGAGTGAGTAGAGCAGACAGTTGCTTGTTCCTGGTTTCCCGGCTTTCGACAGCGGAGATAGCAAAGTTCCAGTTACATTATGTGTGTAAGGGATACCTTCGACGCAAGTAGACTGAGGGTTCCTTCCCCAAGCAACATTGCGGATTCCGTCAGGGAACAAGTGAAGATAAAGTACCGTTTTCTTGTTAGTTGCATCTATGTGCCGCCATGGGCCAGAGCAGACAAACTGACGGCCGTATTTGAACGTGCATCTGAAGTGCCAGCTTGCATGAAATTTATTAGGGGTGATCTCAACATGCGCGATGTTTCATGGCATAAGCAAACTGCAGCGGCCACATATCATAAATATCTTCCTAACTTGCTAGTACATGGATGGACGCAACAATTAAGGCTAAAAGTTGATTTGTAGTTCATGTGTTGCATAACCACTACAATGGAACACACACACACACACGCACATACTTAGCAAACTCTGAGTGATCATAAGGTGGTCCAACTAACCTTCGAAATGGGCACGCATCAACAACAGAGGACTTATACAATACCTGAGAATACCATCCATACCAAAAAGTGAAGTGGAACATCCTCCATTTGACTTTTAAATCAGCCGACGAAAGTAACAGTCTCCTTGCAGACAGTCTTTGTACCGCTCCTGATGTATTTTATCGAAACCTAAATTATTTCAATCTAAAAAGCAGACATTGCTTTTATCCAAAACTCCACTGCTAGGGCTACCGCGCAGTGTCAAAAATGACTGCGCTGCGAATTCAGGAAGACAAATGATTAGTGCTTACATAAATTAACAAGGTAATATAGGGTTTGCGAGTTCCGTACAAAAAGAAACTAGTGTCACAACAGTCGTAGTAGCCGATACTTGTTACGTCGCATAATGAAAAATAGATAACGAACAAAACGTCGGCAAATGATAGAACTACTCTCACTAGACAACAGCTACGTTATCGAACCCAGAGAGCTAAGGGAATTATTTACTAGCTATGTCGTTGCATTCATGATGCTTCCACACCGTAGTTGGACTAAACCAACTTACACTTAAACTAGATCATTTTAAGCTGCATAAATTGCATTCCACTTTATTTGGTTTGTTCTGTCTACCCGAGTAATCTTCTATTAACTGGCCAAAATCGCTTACGCTTATTGCGCTTATCTTCAATAACTTCGTTGCGCTTGTAGCATTTTTAAATAACTTGTGGACATTTTTTACTTATCGCGGATTCGTTGCCAACCGACTTACTTCAGTTGCTGATTTTGCGAAGAGTTAGGTCACCGTTTCCGTATGCATTATTGCATTTATTTGATTTCATTTTGCCGTTTCAAGTGATTGGTTGTTGCTTGATTTCCCCGGTGTGGCTGCGCTTGATGTGCATGTTGACAAGGTGTCTACCTGTCCATTACCCACTACCTCGTCC